AAATTTAAAATATATATATAAACTTAAAATTCATAACTTATATATATGACTTATACAGAATCTTATATATAGGTTATGATTAAAAAACACCCATAAATTAGTCTTTTAAGTTATCACTTCTTCAGGCTTATTATATTATATTATAATATAATAAGTTCAGAGCAGTGATAATATAAAAGATTTATATATAGATTTTTTTTTATTATATTACCTTCGAACTCGAACATGTTCATGAACTTTCGAACTAAATCTGAACTGAATCTGAACTAGCTTTAAAAGTTTGAAATCGAACTGAACTCAAACACCCTTTAAAAAATTGTTCAGGTTCAGTTCAGGTTCATCACAGCACTAGAATTATATGTAGAAAAATAATGCCAACCTATTGCTTCAAGATGGTATATCTCAAATTAGAAGGTTTGAAAATCTCAGATGCATTAATTAGTGCAATTTTGCATTTATGCCCAGATATACACTTTCTCATTCTTGATAAAAGTAAGGGTTTTACTAATATACTAATTATAGAAATTGTGAGATTTTCTCTAAAACTACAGCATTTGAGTCTTAATTCATGTATATGCCTCACTAATCAGTATATTACTGAAATTACTCGCTTATGCTCAAAACTTAAATATCTTGAGCTTAGTGATTGCTCAATTAGTAATGAAGCTATTGAGGAGATAGCTAGCAACTGTACTAATTTGAAATATCTTAGTTTGAAAGAGTGTAGAAGGATTAGTAATGAAGTGCTAAAAAATCTTAATTCGAAAATTAAAATCGAACATTCAGATTATTCTAATGATGAATTCTCTAATTTTGATTTACTTCCACTTATCTAATCTTTATCAGTAGACAAAATAGGATAGCTATAACCAGGTCCTTTGGAGACTACTATTTGAGTCATACATTAGATGAAACAGATTTTATTTCTGCAGATGTTAATTATCTCAGAGAGAATTCTCCAACACGAGTTATAAATAATTATATTTATTAATAAAGAATAGGTAATTAATTATTAGTTATTTTTTCATGGTAATATATATTATTAAATATACTAAATATGTTTATAAATACACTCATAGAGGAAAAATCTCAGTAAAAGCATTAATTGATATATCGTTAAAGTTTAATACCATTAGCAAGAGCTTGTTCAATAAGCTTTAAGAAGATTATAGAATACGTAATTCTGTTGAGAATCTCTATAGAGATGTAATAGGTGAAATAAAATGTTTAGATTTGCAATTTTGCTATAAAGAAAAGTAGTGAAGCTTAGATAGTATTGAAGTAATAGATTTTCAAATTTGCAAAAATCTATTATTTGATTTGGTGCTAGGATG